GTATAAGTAGGAGCATTGCATCAGATCGAGGGATGTGATCATTCCCCTCTATTCGGCATTGGTGAAGCCTCATCTGGAGTACTGCATCCAGTTTTGGTCCCCCCACTACAGAAGGGATGAGGACAAATTGGAGAGAGTCCAGGGGAGGACAACAAAAATGATCAGGGGGCTGGAGCACATGACTTACGAGGAGAGGCTGAGTGAACTGGGCTTGTTTAGTCTGCAGAAGAGAAGAGTGGGGGGGGGGGGGATTTGATAGCAGCCTTCAACTACCAGAAGGGGGGTTCCAAAGAGGATGGAGCTCAGCTGTTCTTAGTGGCAGCAGATAATAGAATAAGAATCATAGAATATCAGGACTCCCTCCAATTTGTCTACATCCTTTCTGTAGTGGGGGCCCCAAAACTGGATGCAATATTCCAGATATGGCCTCACCAGAATAATCATAGAGGGGGAATAATCATTTCCCTTGATCTGCTGGCAATGCTCTTACTAATGCAGGAATCGTGGTACTCCCACATCTTGAATATTGCATACAGATGTGGTCTCCTCATCTCAAAAAAGATATACTGGCATTAGAAAAAGTTCAGAAAAGGGCAACTAAAATTATTAGGGATTTGGAACGGGTCCCATATGTGGAGAGATTAAAGAGGCTAAGACTTTTCAGCTTGGAAAAGAGGAGACTAAGGGGGGATATGATAAAATCATGAGTGGTGGAGAAAGTGAATAAGAAAAAGTTATTTACTTGTTCCCATAATATAAGAACTAGGGGCCACCAAATAAAATTAATGGGCAGCACGGTTAAAACAAATAAAAGGAAGTTCTTCTTCACACAACGCACAATCAACTTGTGGAACTCCTTGCCTGAGGAAGTTGTGAAGGCTAGGACTATAGCAGGGTTTAAGAGAACTAGATCAATTCATGGAGGTTAAGTCCATTAATGGCTGTTAGCCAGGATGGGTAAGGAATGGTGTCCCTAGCCTCTGTTTGTCAGAGGGTGGAGATGGATGGCAGGAGAGAAATCACTTGATCATTACCTGTTAGGTTCACTCCCTCTGGGGCACCTGGCATTGGCCACTGTCGGTAGACAGGATACTGGGCTGGATGGACCTTTGGTCTGACCCAGTATAGTTCTTATGCTTGCTAGAAATTGACCCCAATAAACATCGCATTGTCTGTCTGTACTTTGGACTTCTGGTCTTTTGCTGCTTGCTGTCTGTGTAACAAGAACCAGGGAAGTGGGAGGGTAAAGGGAAAGCCCTCTAACATAGGGCTGACTCTAATCTTGCTTTAGCAAGTATATCGGTCTTCCTTCATTTGCTTACTATCTCTAAGTTTGCTTTGCTCAAGTGGAAACTACAGATAAATCTACACTTTTATACAAGAAAATGTCAAGCCAAAGGAAATGTTGCTGTGTATTAACATGAGGGTTATGTCCAAGTTCTGGAATGTAACCCTTCAGGCCAGAATTATTACCGTAGTATAAGGTCACAAAGGGATTATATTTAGGCCAGAGCTAGTATCTGTATCAAACTGTCAAACTAATTACTAGAATAACATTCTGAATATTTAATATTCTGGAAGAGGCAGATATGGCACCCCACTACTGCTCAATGTTGACTTAAAAATGTTTGTTATAGTTTTTGGTCCTTGACAACCAGACAAGTACGTGAATTTTAATGAGACCTGCACACAGTATTCCTAACTCTGGTCTGCTAATCCCAAATTATGTAGTATTAAAAAATTGAGCACTTTAACCAAATTTAATCTTAACTTTGGGGATGGGGAGGAATGTGGCAAACATGCTGAATGCAGTAGACTTCAAATAAGTTGGCATCTGTCAGTAACTGTTAATGTTCTGCAACAGAGTATTGAAACCCCCTGGAGGAGGCTCTAGTAATCTGTTTGGGAGCACAGGAGAAGTTTCCTCTTCCAGCAGACCACACAGAATGGCATCTAGCATCTTTGGAGCAGCTGAGGAACCGCAGAACTTTCCAAAAAGAACATACCCTCCAGGTGAGAACACCAATTTCTTTAGGGAAACCACTGAGAAGAGGTATATCTGATTCTGGGTTGGAAGATATATTTGGTTCTTGTACAATGTTCATGTTCCAGCTCAGTATCCTGGAGCAATGTAGCAGGTAAATATCAATGCAACAGCAATTTTTGCTGTCCCTGTAAACTATACACTGCTGCTAGCTGATTGAGCTTGCGCACTAAACCCAATCAGGGAACATTCAATCATGAGTGCTGAGTTTAGCTCTAAACTGAATTTTGTGCTGTAAAATAGAGTACTTTTTCTCCTGGTGAGCCATCAGGCTGACTTTAATGATTTCCCCAATACTTATATTTAATAATCTACCCGCTAGGCTTAAAGGACTTAAAACATTGAACAAAGCTAATGTCGGATAAGAGTTTTGGTAGCCTTTTTTCTGCCTGTAGGCAGCAATGAGACTACTCTGCCCACTTATAAGAACCTTGAAATAGCTATTTTTAAGCTTGAAATAGAACTGATATTGCACTGTGTAAATGTACACAAGGGTGATGTTTCTGCTTGCATATTTAGTGTGAGCTTTCGTTACATGGATAGTTTTAGTGGTGATAAGCTTGCCAGCAGTGAAATATGGGGCATTAGGTAAATAGTTACCATTAGTCCAATATGACAGCTATTGACTATACAAACCACTGATGAAAACTTACTGTTTGAAGTGAAATTACTGTACAGAATTGAACAAAGCATGAATTAGAATGGCATGTAAAGTTAGATTGCTACATTGGACTTTACTAGAAGTTCTTGGTTTAAAAAAAAAAATATTTTTTTTTTAAAACCATAGGCAACTTTCTAGCCCTGCCTGTTTGCAGCCATTGAGATGCAAGTGCTCGAGACTATACAGTAACTACTGTATGATGTCTAAGTCTGTGTCTGCATTGGCAGAACTCGGGCCTGTAGTTTTTTGGCCTAAGCTATAGCATAGGTATGATACCACCAGGTTGCCCAATCCTACTAGAGAATTGGAGATCTCTTTCCTAATGTAGCCACCATGTAGTGTTGGGGAGGTGGGCAGGGGGGAGAGAGACACTTGGAGGATCCATTCCAGAGACTTTTCCAGCTGAAATGGTGACATACACAAAGAAACTACGTCAGCTCTAACAGATGTAAATCCAAGATTTTTCTGAATTCTGGTGACAAAAGTCTTAAGTATTTTCAGGTAAGCAAAATTCTAGGATTTCTGGACTTAAGGTACAGATTCAGTTAGTGATACCGAAAACCTCAAACTTGGATATTTGACTGTTTTTAATCCCATCTTAGTTAACGTTTTAAAGAAAGTTATAAGGGAAGAATGCAAAACAGTTAAAACCCTTTTCCAAGTAACTGTTAATTACCTTGCAGGGGGGAAAGGAAGTGGTATCTTTGAGGATCCTAGCCCTGTCCAGTCTCGTCAACGCATGAATCCGCCTGGTGGGAAGACAAGTGATATCTTTGGGTCTCCAGTACCTGCCAGCCCTGTTCGAGCACACCCAAACAAACCCAAGGTATTTGTACTGCTGTGGCTGTGAAAATGGTTTAAAAAAAATTGCTAAGAGGGCTTGCTATAATCTGGTAGAGTTAATGTTCTGAACAAGGCTCCTATGTACTATGTGGCATGTTAATCCTACATTATGCCTCAGGAAACCCCAAATTAGTCAGCACTGCCTCCACAACCCTCTTCTAGTCAAGGACCCCTTGTTACTTTTGATAGTAAACTCACTTATGCTGCATCAGTTCTCAGTGTGTTGCAGATTTTTGTACGTAAAAATATACAGTTGCACTGTGGAGGTATGAGGGGGAAGCCGAAAGCTTTTGCAGTTGGATACAGGAGAACTGGTGCTTCTGTCATCCAGATAAGGTGTAGGAGGCTGTCTTCTGACAACCAGGAGGCATTTCAGGCTTTTTGAATTGGAAGGGGATGGATCTCCTTGCTGCTTTTTCAAGGGGGGTGCTGACTTCAAATTTGGGAGGTGCTGAATTCCTTACTATTCACCTTCACAAGGCTTGACATAAACTAGCTGCCTTCTGCATCCCATCTCAATATAAACAACAACATTCACTTGACTTTCTATTAAAATGATCAGCAATGAAATAGCTAATTTTAATGTCAGCCTTACCCTCCATTAAGCTTTAGTCCCAACACCCCCTTATTTCACACTATCTGCAGATTCAAACACATGTCAATATATTGGTTTATATTTTCATTTTTGAGGTTCTCAACAACAATGGTCAGAGACCTGTTTTTGTGTACAGAAGCTTAGATTCTGGTGCACAGTTGTGGCAGTCATAGGACTACTATGTGGCAATTTACTTGGCTGTATAATCACATTAGATACAAGGTCATAACTATGAGCAAACATTCTTCTGGGGGGAAGCAAGAATGTAAATATTTGCCACTTATGTACCATGTTCTTGCATAGTAGATTGGCTCCTGCATCTTGGCTGGTTAACTCTTTTTCCTTAAGTTGAAACTGCACCACTGAGTGAGTCAGCCATCATACTGGCAAAGTTCTTGACAAGTGGAGAGTCTTGGAAACATACTATCTATTAAGCAGTAGTGTTAATGGAATCTGTGCTCCACTAAAATTTCTGCTGAAGAGAAACTGATGGTGGTAGCTTTATTGCTTCTAAAGTTCTAGTTGACCAATGTTACTAGAATCTAATTTAAGAACATAGAACTAAACTTGAGGCAGGAGTCAGAAGTAATATTCTTTGTCCCAACCTCTTATGCAGTCCTGCCAGTATTGACTCCAAGGGATTCTGGGATTTGGGTCATAGGAAGAAACTGAGAATTTTGAGGGCTGAGTGTATGCCTGCTCAGGGGTCTGGTGTTACTTTAGAGGAGGTGTGTTTTGCTTTTCTTCCTACCCTCTGCATTGGATAGCTCTGGGGTAGCACTGCTGTGAAGTTGGCTCCACTCTCTAGAAACACAATTTCACCCAGCCCTGGAACTTAGCGCTGGATGTGGGGAGGGCTGCATGGACCATTGTAATTTGGGATAGAGCAGGGATGCCGTGGGAGCAGCAAGGGGAGGGGGATGAAATCATTCTGTTGGGTTTTAGGTAGAATTCTAGTCAGTTGCTCACCCTCAGAGCATGTAGCCCAGTATGTGTGTCCTCTTGCAACCTACTTTAAGCTCACACCTCAACGATTGAGAAATGCTTGAGTACTCGCTTCAGAGAATTTACACTGTTGGGTAATGTGATCCTGTCTTTAAAGAGGGGGTTAAAAGTAAAAAATCTTTTTAATGTCATTTTCATGCCAGCCCTTTCTGCTGGGGGTGAAACTATCATAGAAACGGTGGAACCATAATGATTTGTTGTACTAGGCACTTTAATGCATTGTATTGACTTGACTACAGCAGTCTTGGTGTGAGGAGATCCTTTGAAGCCATGCTTGCTCATCACAGCTGATTCCTAAATCTGAAAATGGGTCAGGGAGGGTGGGTGAAAACTGTCCTTAAGCTCATCTGACGCAGTAATTCAAACTACTCTGGATACTTCACTGAGCATGCGTTTATTGCTGAGACACCCACTGGAGCACTGAAGAGCTTGCTGTTCTGGGTCTGAACACTTCCTGCTATTTTTCGGTGCCAGTGGGTACTTGTAGAAAGAGTCTTGCAAAATAATAGTCTAGAATGGATATAGATCCAAGGGTAGAAAGTCTTAAGGATCTAATGGACTATTGTTGTATCTTGCTTCTGTGAGTTGTCTTGGTACGACATACAGGAGGTCAAGTAAGGTGTCTATGGAAAGGTTGTAATTTGCTAGTTATGATTATGCTGTCTGTATCATTTTTATATTTGAAATTATGAATATTGGCTATGTACTTGTATCTCAATGTTTGATTCTAAGTAACATCAGTGAAGCATTGGGTCAGCTTCTTGAGAATGGGCAATTACTCAGAATAGTCCTATCAGGAAACACTTAACTGACAATGGACTTTGGGAGACGCCAATCCACATCTGAGCTTTCCTGGGAACGTTCAAACTAACATGTAAACAATGGAGTCGGCCTGCAAAAAGCTGAATCATTCATGGACATGTGACTTGCCCAGGTGGCTACAAACTCCATCTTGTTGCTGTGATTTTGCACAGAAGAACAAAAGGGAGAGAATATAAAAGGCCCTGAAAGCCTCTCCATTTTGTCTTCAGCTGGCTCAAGAGATGGCCTCTCCACTCCAAAGAGATGCCTTAAAGAAACTGGAACAAAGGACAGTAACTACAGGTGTATGAGTGATTGCTGGACCCAAGCCATAAACTACAACGTTGGCCTGAAAAGGATTGGGCTCAGACTAGGAAGGAGTCCAGTCTGTGAAAGAAGCTTATTGGAACATCTCAGAGTACTGTATTCAGTTTCTTAATGTATTAGGCTTAGACTTGTGTGTTTAATTTGGCTTGGTAACAGACAGAACAAAGTAAGTTATTACTTGAAACCACTTAAATCCTACTTTTTATACTTAATAAAATCACTTTTGTTAATTACTTACTCTGTTAATTAATAAATACCTGGGGGAGCAAACAGCTGTGCATATCTCTATTAGTGTTATAGAGGGCGGAGAATGTGAGTTTACCCTCTATAAAGCTTTATACAGAGTAAAGCAGATTTATTTGGGGTTTGGATCCCATTGGGAGCTGCGTGCTGGAGACAGGAGCACTTCTTAAGCTGTTTTGAGTTAAGTCTGCAGCTTTGGGGGTGTGATTCAGACCCTGGGTCTGTGTTGCAGCAGGCTTGCATGTCTGGCTCAACAAGGCAGAGTTCTAAAGGCCCAAACTGGCAGAGAAAACAGGCTCAGAGGTAGTCTCAGCACATCAGGTGACAGTCAAAAGGGGGTCTCTGTGACCAAACCTGTCACAGTGGCATAGTCGGCAGGATTTGTGCACAGCTGATTGCTGTGAGACACTGGTAGCGATTTTAAGTGAGTTTTAAGTGTGGTGGCCGGAGAACAGACGAAGTGGCTACTGGTTTGTTATCTTTTTGTTTATTTCGGGTGAGGGAAATAAGCTCAAGAAAACAGGAAAATGACTACCAGTGAGGCAGCTACAAAACTAGAGCTGGCCAGACTGGAAGCGGAAGAAAAGCCAAAGGACCGTGAGTTTCAAATGTGGCAGGCAGAAATGAGGCTCAAAGAAGCAGCTGCAGCCAGGGAAACCACGGAGACCCAGAAACAGGCTCAAATTGAGCTGCCCTGGAGTTAAAAAACCAGAGAAATACAGGCCCAAATTGAGACCCAGAAGCATGAACTGGCTGTAATGTAGTGGAAGAGACAGAACCCTTAAGCAGCTGGCTCCACTTCCCCAAAAATCCATAAATGGGAGCGGTTATGTCGGCAGTATGATGAATCCAGTGATCTTGCTGAATATTTCATCACCTTTAAGAGACTGTGCACCCTCCATGTGATTTCTGAAGATCAAAAAATGACCACTGTGGTTGCAAAATTGACTAGCTCTGGACGTATTCAATAAGATGCCTATTGATGATGCTTCAAACTATGGTAAATTTAAGGAACTGGTTTTGAAATAGTTTCAGATTACACTTGAAACCTACAGGGTTAAATTCCAGAGTCTTAAGAGGAGATCTGGATTAAGTAATGTGGCTTGTGTAAATAAAATGAGAGATTTGTTGGACAAGTAGGTGAGGGGGGGGGGGGGAAGGCATTAAATGTTTTGAAGAAATGTGTGATTTAAATACTCAGGAACAGTTCCTGAATATGTGCGGTGATGATGTAAAACAGTATTTGTGGGACAGAAAGGTGAATGCAGTGGGGGAATTAGCTGAGTTTGAAGACTCTTACGAGCAGTCACAAGCTGCAATTAAACAGAAGCCACTGGCAGAGGGCTACAGGATTGGTGGAAAGCAGAATCACCATTTTACCCCTGGGGAAAAAGGAGGCTGGGTGTTCACCTCCCTGTTATTCGTCCCAAATCTCCTGTACAAGCAGAGGAGCCCAAAAGGTGCTATCGTGGTAAGTCCACTGAACATCTGAGGAATAAACGTCTGAAGCTGCTGCCTCTCAGAGCACAGGGGTATCCCAGGCTGCTGCCTCTTTCCACACAGGAGTTGTAAAGGTTGCTTCTACACAAACAAGCAGTGAGCATATGCATGCTGTTAAACTTAATGGCAAAGTGCTCCAAGGATGGAGAGTGCAGAAATTTCTGTGGTCAGAAGGTACCTGATCCAGGATTTGTTACCAGGGGAAATGGCAGAATTAGAATTGGTGGGAGGTTACAAAGTCCTTGCAACTTTAGCTAAAGTACACATGGAAACTGGTGATTTGCAGGCTGAACTGACTGTTGCAGCAGAGGCACAATTTTGTACCGTTTCTACTGGGAGATGAATTCTTTGTGGCAGAATCTGTCCCAGGGTTTGTTAGCAGCAAGAAGGAATTTTGTGCTGAAAGCCCCAGAGGGGAGGCTAAAGTCACAAATGCTTCTGGGGGAATAGGAGAGTGTCTCTTTAATTCCTCTGTAGCAGTGGAGAATGTAGCTCTGGGATGGTCATAACCAGTTCCTGTCGCCCCGGTGCTCAAGGCTGGTCCCTGTGGGAAGGGCTGGATAAAGCCAGCTCCAGTCCTGTAATCATCTCCTTAGGGGAGAGGGATGTTCCACCTTGTAAAAGGGAGATGTTCCCAGTTGCTGACTGCCGGAAGTTGCAGGTCAGCAGGGGACAGGGCCTGCCCTTCGGTGCAGACACATGTATCCCAGAGATGGAGGTTTGGGTTCTGACAACCGCTGTGGTGGGAAGAGACCCCAAGGACTCTGTAGCTGGAAGCAAGCCCAACCTGAGTGAAAGCGGGGGATTTTGCTGGCCAGTGAAGGGTCTGTCATAGCTGGTAGCTGTGAGCCCACAGCTGGATCAGGGTCACCTTCCCTTCTGGGGGACACAGAAGTGTCAGCCTCAGAGGGGAGCCCAGAGAGGGAAGTCCAGACAGAAGGTGAGGGGGGGACAGGAGGGTCTGCCCACGTTTTGTAGGAAGGTTTTTCACCAGGAGGAGGGTGAAGGATCTGCATCTAAAATGCCAGACCCCTCACCTATGGATCAGGTTTTGAGAGAAGACTGGGTGTTAGATCTCCTGGAGGGGAGAGTCCACCCAGCTGACCTGTTGGGAACAAAGAGGGGATCTTACTAATCCAAAGCACTCCATTAGAGAACGTTGTTCCTGCTACCCTTGTAAAAGATAACATTGTCTCTTCAAGGCTGGGGGAAGAAAAACTTTGCATTTTGGAAGCTTCACAAGGGGGTGGGGTACAACCCAAAGAAATTCCCAAGGGAGGAACAGAGGGTAGGCATGGTCGCAGAGCACCCATTTCCTTGCCAAATCCTCAAACCCATGCCTGAATTGGGAGCCTTCTCCAAAGAGACAGGAGACTCTGTCTAAACCCCTACCATGGTACACACAAGAATTGGGAAATGCAATAGACACTGAACAAGCTAAATTGTGTGAACAGAGCCTGTCTGCCATAGATTTGCTGTTAATCTTGCATCTTTTGCTACTTCATCTAGGGGTCAAGACAAAGGAGTTAATACTAATGGTAAACCCTTTAAAGATGTGTGACATACCTGATTTATGGGGGAAACTTTTGTACATGCTAGGGATGGTGACTAGACAGTCCCATAAGCATGTTGCTTTTCAGCTTATACCTGTAAACAGGCTGGAAGCTTGGCACAGCAGCAAAAGCATAACAGGTCTATGCTGCTGTGTGGAAGGGGAAACTGAGGCACCCCGCCTCATGGCATTGGTGGCTAAATGCCAAGACACCTACCCTTTAACAGATATTGTGATCTGCATTCTGTTAACAATACTACACCCCAACATGTTTTCAGGCACCTGGGGACCAGGGACCCCAAACCTTGCTAGAACACCTGTAAATAACAGCATAGGGTTTAAATGTACTGGGAGAATGTGTGACAAGAGACAAACAGGGATTTTACAAGTACTGCCTATGCCATGGACAGTGTCCAAGTCTCTGGCAGTAAGTTCAGGAGGAGGGTGTGACATTATTGACATGAACTGTGACTGTTATCATTGTTGCAACCAAGGTCCTAGAGTTGCACCAAATCCTGTACAAAGGAGGTCAAGTAAGGTGTCTATGAAAAGGTTGTAATTTGCTAGTTATGGTTATTCTGACTGTATCATTTTTATGTTTGAAGTTATGAATATTGGCTATGTACTTGTATCTCAATGTTTGATTCTAAGTAGCATCAGTGAAGCATTTGGTCAGCTTCTTGAGAATGGGCAATTACTCAGAATAGTCCCATCAGGAAACACTTAACTGACAATGGACTTTGGGAGATGCCAATCCACATCTGAGCTTTCCTGGGAACATTCAAACTAACATGTAAACCATGGCGTCGGCCTGCAAAAAGCTGAATCATTCATGGACATGTGATTTGCCCAGGTGGCTACAAACTCCATCTTGTTGCTGTGATTTTGCACAGAAGAACCAAGGGGTTTCCACCCACGAGAGAGAATATAAAAGGCCCTGGAGGCCTCTCCATTTTGTCGTCAGCTGGCTCAAGAGATGGCCTCTCCACTCCAAACTGATGCCTGAAAGAAACTGGAACAAAGGACAGTAACTGCGGGGGTGTGAGTGATTGCTGGACCCGAGCCATAAACTACAATGTTGGCCTGAAAAGGATTGGGCCCAGACTAGGAAGGAGTCCAGTCTGTGAAAGAAGCTTATTGGAACATCTCCAAGGGTGAGATTTACCTGTATTCAGTTGCCTAATGTATTAGGCTTAGACTTGTGTGTTTGATTTGGCTTGGTAACCGACAGAACAAAGTAAGTTATTACTTGAAACCACTTAAATCCTACTTTTTATACTTAATAAAATCACTTTTTTGTTAATTACTGTGTTAATACCTGGGGGAGCAAACAGCTGTGCATATCTCTCTATCAGGGTTATAGAGGGCGGAGAATTTGAGTTTACCCATTATAAAGCTTTATACAGAGTAAAACGGATTTATTTGGGGTTTGGATCCCATTGGGAGCTGGGTGTCTGGGTGCTGGAGACAGGAGCACTTCTTAAGCTGTTTTGAGTTAAGTCTGCAGCTTTGGGGGTGTGGTTCAGACCCTGCATCTGTGTTGCAGCAGGCTTTCGTGTCTGGCTCAACGAGGCAGGGTTCTGAAGGCCCAAACTGGCAGAGAAAACTGGCTCAGAGGTAGTCTCAGCACATCCGGTGACAGTCCCAAGGGCATCTCTGTGACCAAATCCGTCACAGGGATCACTGTCTCCTTAAAGAACTTGATGCTACAGTTGCTTTCACAATGCCATTGCAGGAGGCTTCATGGAGAGCAAGCTGCAGCATTTGGCTCTTAATGCAGAAATTACATGGTCTTGGTGTAAAGGATCCTTTAGGTCTAAGATTTAAGAAAAGCTTGCAGTGGAGTAGTAGTTGACCTATAGCCTATGAAGCCCTAAAACAGTTCTGATTTTTATTGCAGGATCACATTGTCTTACAAGAGGCAGGAGATGCTTCAAAGGAACTGAAAGGTAAGGCAAGAGAAACCTCTTTCTCTGAGATGCTGTGAAGAGTATTTTGGCCTGTGTATGCAAAGAGGAAGAATAAACCAGACTAATCCTGGTTTTCAGGACAACACAGTCAAGCAAGGTCATGGCTATAGAACTTCAAACTGGGCAGGCAGACTTTCAGTATCAGTTACATGATAGGAAGTGATCCTGAAATAACCATCCAACTTCTTCTATTAAGCTGGGTCACTTTAGGTAGGGTATCGAAAGTGGGCCCTATGCTAGGCTGATATCTAGATACGGGAAGTGTGTTCCTTGATACCTGCCCTCCTAGATGGTCTGTCTGTTTTTTATAGGAGACTATTTTTGTACTTAAGCCCAAGCCCTTAGAATGTGGTGGGCCAACTTGGCCCATCTCATTCTGAAGCAGCAAGGACACACGTTAACTGAACAAATTGAGATGTAACTCCCATTTCTGCAGCTCTCTCAAGCAGTTGAGCTATTCGTGTAATGTATCTGAATCTTGAGCGGAATGATCTCCTTATTTAAGTGGGGGAATGTGCAATTATTTATGATATATAAAATATCGTGGTAAACTGTTCCTCCTTCTCCCGCATTCATAGCTTGTAATTTTGGCCTTCCTTAACTGTAGCTATGGACAGGTTTCAGAGTAGCAGCCGTGTTAGTCTGTATCCGCAAAAAGAAGAACAGGAGTACTTGTGGCACCTTAGAGACTAACAAATTTATTAGCGCATAAGCTTTCGTGGACTACAGCCCACTTCTCCACCAATACTCACCAGCAACCACACATCACTGAACAAAACCACTAACCCAGGAACCTATCCTTGTAACAAACCCCGATGCCAACTCTGTCCACATATCTATTCAAATGACATCATCATAGGACCTAATCACATCAGCCATACCATCAGGGGCTGGTTCACCTGCACATCTACCAATGTGATATATGCCAGCAATGCCCCTCTGCCATGTACATGGGCCAAACCGGACAGTCTCTACGCAAAAGAATTAATGGACACAAATCTGACATCAGGAATCAAAATACTCAAAAACCAGTGGGAGAACACTTTAACCTGC